TCTTTCTTTCTTTCTTTCTTTCTTTCTTTCTTTCTTTCTTTCTTTCTTTCTTTCCTGGTATTTACCAATCTGTTGATCCATCCATCCATCCATCCATCCATCCACCCATCCATCTATCTTTCTATCTATCATCTACTGGTATCTACCAATCCCTTGATCCATCCATCCATCCATCCATTCATGTCTGTCTGTCTGTCTGTGTCCGTCCGTCCGTCCATCCACCCACCCATCCATCCATCCATCCATCATCTACCAGTATCTACCAATTCATCCATTCATGTCTGTCTGTCTGTCTGTCTGTGTCCGTCCATCCATCCATCCATCCATCATCTACCAGTATCTACCAATCCATCCATCCATTCATGTCTGTCTGTCTGTCTGTCTGTGTCCATCCATCCATCCATCCATCCATCATCTACCAGTATCTACCAATCCATTCATCCATCCATCCATCCATCCATGTCTGTCTGCCCGTCTGTCTCTCCCTCCCTCCCTCCCCCCACCCCTCCGGTCATACTGAATTATGCCTGATGTTCCAGTCAACCGTTTGAAGGACTGTTCCGTTTACTCTGTCACTCCAATGGCACCGTCTCCTTTGCTCTGTCTCAGGTACGGCTTTGAAGGCGTCATCCTCACCATCTACTCCATGGACCGTGGAAATCTGGACTGCAAAGACACTGACTGCCCATTCCAGGACCCAGCCAAGATCCTGAAGGAGTTGGATGTGGAAGAAGCCAAACTGTACCTCGACTTTGCCATCTTAGGGGTTTTCTTTTTCATCATCCGCCTTCTGGCTTACCTCACCCTCAAGTACAAGGTGAAGGCGGAAAGATAAGAAGGGACACGGACCCAGTTCCTGCTGCTGAGGGACAGGCACAGTCAGCCAGGCAATGCCCTTCCTATCACTGCCCACATGCCCCAAAGAGAACCTCTGCCGGCTGCCGGTCAAAGAGGGAGACGTTGGAGAGCTGGGGACCCCTTCAGCTTGGCCAAGGACTAATGAAGGGTCTCAGAACTGTTTTAACCTAACTTCTTCATGACAAATGAGGCTTCCTCCCTCCCTTTCTTCCTCTCATCTCGCCTTCCTTCCTTCCTTCTTTCCTCCCTCCCTCCCTCCCTCTCCTCTGTTTCCTTCCCATTTTTCTTCCTTCCTTCCTATTAGCTTCCTTTTCCTCCTCCCTGTCCTTCCCATTTTCCTTCCTTTTTTCTTCCTGTCCTGTCCTGTCCTCTCCTGTCCTGTCCTGTCCTGTCTTCCTTCCTTCCTTCCTTCCTTCCTTCCTTCCTTCCTTCCTTCCTTCCTTCCTTCCTTCCTTCCTTCCTTCCTTCCTTCCTTCCTTCCTTCCTTCCTATTACCTTCCTTCCTCTCCTCTGTCTCCTCCCCATTTTCCTTCCTTCCTATTACTTTCCTCCCGCCCTCCCTGACCTTCCTTCCTCCCCCCTTTCTTCTTTCCTCTTCTCCCTCTCCTTCCCATTTTCCTCCCTTTCTTCCTTCCTCCCTCCCTCCCTTCCCTCATATCTCTTCCTCTTTCCCTCCCTCTCTTTTATACATGTCTGGATCATGTCCAAACTCTCTTCCCAAAGCTGCATATCCACCCAAGGAAACTTTCTTTGCCATACGACGAGTGGAGATGAGGTGGAGAAAGAGCCCCAGACTTGGGGGGGGGGGAGCCAAAGGGGGCGGGGGGGCGGGAGAGATGCTAGAACCGGTTTGGGCAGGGCCCAGGGAGGCTCTAGCTGGGGGGAAGCTGTTCAGGGAGCGGGAGGGAGGGGGTTTTCTTTGACAAGCACACTCCGTAGCGCCATTGTTTTATAGCCTCGTGTTTTTTTGCAGGGGGGGGCGGGGTTGACTTGCTTCGCTTGCAGGAACTGTCGCATGTGGATGCGGAAGACTTAAGATGAGGTGTGGGCTGTCCACCCTCACTCTACATGTAGCAATGGGGTGGTTTTCATCTCTTGTTCTGACCCAACCGGGTTCCCAAAGAGCCAACACAGACAAGGGAAGCAGCCCCCACCTTTTAAGTTTTAATAACGAATTCTGTTCTGAAGGCTGCTTTCCACTAATTCGCTCCGTCAGGAAAAGAGCCTTGCCAAGTTGTTCGTCAAGGCTGCCAAAAACCCAGAGATAAGAACTAATTTACAAGATTCTCCAAACACGAACTAAGATGTCCACAAGCTGAGCTTCAGAGCTTCTTTGCTGTCTGCAAAGAACACTTTTCCAAAGCTGGTTTTTATCCTCTTGAGGGAGGGGCCATTAACTTGCAGCCTTACTCCCGAGTCGCCCGTGCTGCTGTAATTGTTCTTTCCTCTGAGCAATTCTTCGTGCACGCGCACTTGGCACAGGCTCCTCGGGAACCTCCTCATCGCTGCTGCCAGCCTCCACAATCTCTGAAGGCAGCAGTCCACTCCCTGGTGGTCCTGGGCCCTCATCAGAGTCCTCTCTCTCCTCAGCCATCCACACCTGATGCTGGCTAACCACAACATCTCTTCCCTTCCTCCCAGGAGCTCCCTCTTGGCCTCCTTTTCCTGACCCCTTTCTCAACACCCCCCCCCCCCAAAATATATATCCAGCTTCTTTTGCAAGCACCGGAAGGAAGTTCAGCCGGTGGGATCTTGCCCCCCCCCCGCGAGAGGCCCTTCCCAACTTTTGAGTGGCATTTTGGAAACTTCCTCCTTCAGTGGGGCCAGAGCTGGTGATAGGTGGCTGGCAGATTCGGGGGCTGGGGGTGGGGGGATACAAAGGCAGCTTTGGATTGCACAAAATCCTGTTGCGTGTATCAGCTGAAAGCAGGAGATACGGCTCTAGTCCTCGAATTACAACCGTTCATTTTAGGGGGCGTTCAAAGTTGCAACCGCCTTGAAAAATGTGACTTATGGCCTGTTTTTCACACTTATGACCTTTGTGGTCTCCCCACGGCCTTGGGATCAAAATCTAGGCGCTTGGCAGCAACTGGCTTATAGTTATGATGGGTTGCAGCTTCCCCAATGCCCCATGCTCCAAAATTCAGGCATCCATCCATCTATCTATCTATCTATCTATCTATCTATCTATCTATCTATCTATCCATCCATCTATCATCTACTGGTATCTGCCAATCAATCAATCAATCAATCAATCAATCAATCAATCAATCAATCAATCTATCTATCTATCTATCTATCTATCATCTGGTATCTACCAATCTGTCAATCCATCCATCCGTCCATCCATCCATCCATCCATCATCTACTGATATCAACCAATCCATCAGTCCGTCCATCCACCCACCCACCCATCCCTGTCTGTCTGTCTGATTCACTTAACAACGAACGTGTCAGCGGCAGCGATTGGCTTAACGACGGGGGCCAGAAAAGTCACCAAATGGGGGTCAAAAGGGATCTGAATCCATGCCTGGCTTAACCACAGAAATCGTGGGCTCCACCGGAGTCATATGTCAAGGACTAACTACCTGGGAGGGGGAAGAATTCGGAGTCGGCGAGGCCGCCAAAAGCACACTTCCGTTTTGCTTCTGGTGAATCCAGTATGGCCAGTTTATGAAACCATATTCGAAACTGGCTCGGCCTGATGAACCAGAAGAAATTACAGGAGATTTGTAATTAAGTGGAGTTCCGCCTGGAATGACAAAGGCTCCAGTTTAACACTTTCAGTCTGTTGGGAAAAGATCTTGTCCTCAGCCATAGAAAAGTGAAAAGTTTTAAGACTTTTTTTGGGGGTGGGTCATCTTCCCAACCTTCTCGGATCTCCACCGCTGGTCCAAGAACATCGGAGGGGCCTTCGGTATTTCTTTCTGGACGTTGCAATCATTTTTGTTTTTGTTTTTGTTTTTAATTATGAGACAATCAAGTGTCACGCTCATCAAAACTGCTTCCTGGCTTCCTCTCCCCGCTGCTTGCTTTAACAACGGATAGAAACTAATCGAGGAGAGAAGCAGCGGAGAACTCAGGAGAAATTTCCTGACAGTAAAGAACAATTAGTCATCTTGGAACAACTGGCCTCCAGAAGGTGTGGATGAAGAATTAAGGCACGGAAATGGTTTCCTGCCGTCCCACAAAAGCTGGTTGGCAGCGGTCAGACTGCTGGTCACTGTTGGTGGTCTGGGGCAGGGGTCTCCAACCATGGCAACGTCAAGACTTGTGGGCTTCCACTCCCAGAAGTCCTCGGTCAGCAAAACTTGAGGATTAGGGTCCACAAGTCTTAAAGTTACCAAAGTTGGAGACCCCTGGTCTAAGGAAAGGGATTGTCTTTCCTGGACCACCTCAATCGTGGAAGATCTGGATCAGAACGGATCCCAAAATTGCTGCTTCTCCTGATAATTTGCACTTTGGGTTCTCCTGGGGATCTGTTGGGTCTTGACAGATGTAGTTTTATGATAACTAAGAACAAATGAAATGGCGGATTGGAGGCACGATTGGGGTTTGTTGCCTGACCACCAACTTCCTGCCCGGGGTCCTGTTTGGTTTTAAAAAGCAAAGCTCTGGAGAGAATGAATGGAACTTCCATAGTCAAGAGCAGTCTGCTACCAAATACATGGTGGGGATCAACAATGCCCATGTGAGTGCCCTGAAGCCATCGGATGCTGGGGATGATGGAACTTTAGCTCAAGCCTGGATAAGGAGCCATGCCTAGCGTTGTTTTGCTCGTCCTGTCATTGCTTTTGTCTGAAAACCTTGAGTTATTTATGATGTTTTAAAACTTTGTAAGGAGATTTTTTTTCTTTCTTCCTTCTTTCCTTCCTTCTTCCTTCCTTCCTTCTTTATCTCACACTTTCTTTTCTCTCTTTCTCTTTTCTTCTCTTTAATACTTTCTTTCCTTCCTTCCTTTCTTTGTCTCAGAAACATGCTTTCCTTTCTTCCTCTTTTTTCTTTCTTTCTTTGTCTCACATACTTTCTTTTCTTTCTTTCTCTCTTTCCCTCACTAACACTCTTTCTTTCTTTCTTTCTTTCTTTCTTTCTTTCTTTCTTTCTTTCTTTCTTTCTTTCTTTCTTTCTTTCTTTCTTTCTTTCTCTTTCCTTCCTTCCTTCCTTCCTTCCTTCCTTCCTTCCTTCCTTCCTTCCATCCTCCCTTCCTTTTCTTCTTCCTTCCTTCCTCTTTCTTTCTCTTACAAACATGCTCTCTTCTTTCTCTTTCCCTCACTCTAACCCTCTTTCTTTCTTTCCTTCCTTCTTTTTTCTTCTTCTTTCCTTTCTTTGTCTTACAAACATGCTCTCTTCTTTCTCTTTCTCTCTTTCCCTCTTTCTTCCTTTCCCTTTCTCTCTTTCTTTCCTTTTTTCTTTTTTCTTTCTTTCCTCCTTTCTTCCCTCCCTCCCTCCTTCCCTCTATTTCAGGCCCATCAAGGGAATTTTTCCCGGGGAGCCCCTTCCCCCTTCTCGGCCCCTCCCCATCACCTAGAAAACCCCCACCTCTGCTGCAGCAATAACCCTTTTTCTATCCCATGCTGCCTTGGGCTTCCAGGAGCCCCTCCACTGAGATCTTTGCACCCCACTTATAGCTGTGGGAACCAGGGCAGCAGGTGCACCTGGGGGGGGAGGGGGTTTGGGATTGGGGGCGGGGCTTCTTCTCCGCGAATGAATGAATGAAAACTCCAAAGCCAGATTTCACCACCTCTTGTGGGCATCTTCTCAGGAACGAAAGAGGCCCTTTTCCTTCCAGGTGGCGAGCGGGAATGGCACAATATCGAAGATGGGAGGCAAAGGAACAAAAAAAGGCACCAGGGGAAAAGAAGGAAAGTCCCGTCGTGGTTGCAAGGGAGGCAGGGAAAACTCTCAAAACCTTCGGATGTTTTATTTATTTTTTTCATACCTCTCTGGAATTGGCCCAGGGTGATTAAGAAAGCGCTGACCAGGACCTCCTCGACTTTTGGACCATTTGTTGAACGACTGTTCGAAGTTACGGCGGTGCTGAAAAGGTCACTTGCAAACAGTCCTTGCGCTTATGACCGTGGCCGCATCCCCCACATCACAGGATCAACATGTGGGCGTGTGGGCAACCCATCGGTGGCCGGGCTCCTCCCGTGGTCGCCATTTGCGACAAGCAAATTTGATGGGAAAACTTGGATTCCCTGAACGACTGCATTATTCACTTAAGGACTGACGTGGTTCGCTTAACAACCCTGGCCACAAAAAAAAAGGGTCATAAAATCAGAGGCAACTCGTTTAACAACCCTACCGCTTAGCGACATAAATCCCAGCCCCCGATTGTGGTCCTAACTTGAGGACTACTTTAATTTCCAAAGAAAGGCAAGAGTGTTTTTTTTCACAGCTTCCCAAATACACCCCCCTCCCCCAAAAGTGATCCCAAAGGGGCTTTTTTTCCAAGAGCGAACTGGACTTTCTTGGCTTTTCCTTGAAGACGTTTCGCTTCTCATGCAAGAAGCTTCTTCCGTTCTGACCTTCAGAACTTCAGCCAGAGCAGAAGAAGCTTCTTGGATGAGAAGCGAAACGTCTTCAAGGAAAAGCCAAGGAATTCCGATTGCCTCTTGGAAAAGCCCCGTTGGAACAACCATCACCTGGAGGACTGAGAATCTTTTTCCCCACGCAAGCAATGCTCCCTGGGCACCTCTGGGATAGCAATTTCCAGCGATTGGCAACTGGAAAGTGGAAAACTGCAATCTAAATACAACTGCAAGTTGCAGAAAACTGGTCTGACCTATTGATGAAGACAATAGTTCCCTTTGTAGTTCAATTCTCAAGGAGTTTAAAGACTTCGTTGTTGGTGCTATGATTTCAGTTGGCCATTCATTGCTCCTACCCAAAACTCAGGCGAGAGTACAAATTTCTCTCTTTTCTCTCTCTCTCTCTCTTTCTTTCTCTTTCTACCTTTCATTTCCACTGTTATTTTCGGAAAGGTGGGTGGGGATATCTTCCCTCAAATCTTAACAGCTCGACACCTGACGATGGTACACCTTCACTTAGTTGCAAATGTTTAGGAATAAACAATAGCCAATTTCTGCTTTTCCTGGTGTTTCTTTCTTTGTTCTTGGTATTTGCATTTGTGGATACGAACTTTTGGAAACATTGTACATTTGCAGCTTCTGGGCTTCCAAAGCAAGTTAGAATGCTTTTAAGCAGTTCAGCGTTAACCGAAAAATTGCTGCTGCTGCCTTTTTTGAAATGAAACTGATGCTAAAAGCAAGTTATGATAATAGCAAAATTTCTTACACGTTCTTATTCAGGCCTGAGTAAATAAACTTGGAATTGACCCTGTAATAAAATTCTAGTTTCAAAAAAAAAAGGGAAAATTTCCTCGGTTTCGAAAGGGCCGATTTCCACCTCAGGTTGCTTAAAATCACATCTTCCCTTTTCTTTCTCTGCCATTCTCTGCTTGGTGGAGCAGAGAATATTCTTGAAGGCTTATAAAAGTTTTTCAAATGTTTTGCCCTTTCCCTTGAGTCGATTAGGATATTGGCATTTTGCCAGCCTAACCTACATCCCTGGAGATTTCCTGCAGCTCCTGGGAAGCCCCACCTAAGGAAAAAACCCCAAAATAAGGAGGGATATTCAAGTTTTGAGCTTAGAGAACTTAATGTTTGCATGACAAGAGAGGCAGGCTGGATCTAACTGGATTACGAAGCATCTATCAGAGACCTCCAAGATCCTTTTGAAAGCAGGAGTTTATTTTTTATTTTTTTAGAAAGGATGAGGTTTGTTGTTCCTCTTGAAAGTTCACAGGAGGCCTATCTCACACAGGAATAAAACCTATACTCTCTAGTTGATGGAAGACTCTGTTATGTTTCAAAAGTTTGCATCCTTCTCACTCCTCCCCCATCTTCCAGAGAGGACCTGACTCTTGAATTAGCTGCGGAGTCCTCGCTGCTCTCTGAGCTTGGTGGCTTTCTTGCAGACCTTTCACGGCCCAACTAGGTAACATCAGTGCTGGAAGGGGGTGGAATTTGGGGAGTGGAGGAGAAGGAGGAGAAGTGGAAAAGCGGAGGGGGGCTCCTTGGTGGTCTCTGAGCTTGGTGGCTTTCTTACAGACATTTTATTTGCCAAACCAGGTAACATCAGTGGGGTTTGTGGAGAGGAAGGGGGAGGAGGAGGAGGAGAAGGACTGGGGGGTTCATGGCGTTCTCTGAGCCCGGTGGTTTTCTTGCAGACGTTTCACGACCCAACTCGGGAACATCAGCAGTGCTAGGAGGCAGCGGGGGTCTGCTCTCTGTTTATATGCGGCGGCTCGGCCAGAATGTGTGGGCGGGCGTCTTGATTTCTTCTTGGCAGTTCCTCGACCAGGCTTGATGGAAAGGGGCTCGCCTTATGCAATTCTCCCGGACAGGCCGCGCGCGCCCCTGTGAGATCGTGCAGTCGGTCCGGGCGAGAGCTCAAGGTCCCCTTCCAGCCCGTCTCTCTCTCTCTCTCCTTGGCACCACGCTTCGCCTCCGGGCCGGCCAGCCCCGCGGGGCTAAGGGAGCCACCCTGCTGCCGGCGCCTGGATGGCTTCGAGCAGCCACCGCGCTCCTCCCCGGCCGGCTGGATTTGAGAAGCCGAACCCATCGCGCCGAGGGAGGGCGAGCCCCAGCCAGCCAGCCAGCCAGCGGGAAGTGCCGGGGCAGCGCAGGAAACCGCAGCGGCCGAGAGAAGCGGCAGTGGGAACGTCTTGACTGCCTCTCCCGCCCCCAAATCCCCACCCCCAGAGATCCAGGCTGAAGAGTCCCCGATGAAGCCCAGCGCGCCGGGGCTGCGACCACCCCCGCGGGACCCTCTTCCTCTCAGGTGACTCCGAAGGGTCCGGGGTTTTGGGGGGCGGGAGTGGGCAACGCAGCGGAGCTCTTTGCAACCTCAGGGGGGTTGCTGGGCTCCCTTTTGGGGAAGGGGCGAAACCCAGCGCGAATTAGCGGGGGAAAGGGCGAACCGAAAGCAATTCGCAGTCCTTGGCAAGCCGAGGTCAGCGCAGCTGGAACCGCAACTCTGAGGGTGGCAGGCTGGCTTGGGAGGCTGGGAGGCGGGGAGGGATGGAAGCCAAACCTTAATTCTTGCACCCCTCAAATCCCTCCGAGTACTGAGGCCTAAGGACAACGACCCAACACACACACACACACACCAAAAATGGCTGAAATAATGTGTGGATCTTTTGGGGAGAGTTGTGCAACTTTCTCACTGCAGTAGGTGGCACCCTTTCCTAGATTTTGGCTGAGCGATTTGGGGTTGTGCCCTGGCAAGCAACTGCCAGGAAGTTCAGCAGCTGCAAGACTAGAAGACGGGGGAAGTTAAAAGCAAAATTAAATAAATGCATAGAGGAACAAATCGCTTTTGGGTTGTTGCCGAATAAAACTTTATAGAGTGGCGTTAGCTCAGAAAACCTCTTCTGTCCTGTGGCTTTAACAGGAGGAGAAAACGTGATTATTTTTGCCTGTTGAGACATAGAGAAGGGCCAGGAGCAGGAGGAGGAGAGCTGGCAGAGAACCAGACCTTACGTCAGCCTGACATTTGACAAGACAAAACAGAGACTGGCCCGTCCTTCCGACTTTGGCTATCAGAACCGCGTCCTGGAGAGGGCTGCAGGTCAGAAGGTGTGCACTGGACAGAAAGTTCCTTTAGAAGCTGATTTTAAAAACTGCTTTCCCAAAGCAACTTGTTTTGCAGATCCTTAGATATATTCCAAATTCTTCTTTCTCTCGTTCCTGGCTTCCTGGTATTAGTCCTCTCTTTTCCCCAAGGATTTTGTGTTTTCATGGTGAGGACAGTGAGTTTTCTGTCTTGCTGTTGTGGTTGCTTGGTGCATGGCTTGGTAAGTGACATCTGGTACCCCACCCCCCCCCCCCCCCCCCCCCCCCCCCGTGGCAGATGGCAAAACTCTTTGAGGAGAAACAACGACCCACACGGGCGGCTGAGTTGACTCCAAAGTAAGCATTGGAGGTCTTGATCTTGGGTGGAAGTGTGGTGGTTCGCCCTCTAAACCTCCTATTTGTTGGTTTGTTGGTTTGTTGTCAAACATGTACAAGATAACAAGTATAGATATGAACATAAACAAGAACAAAGGGAGTAAATGCAGATAAATGGGGAAAGTAAGACAGGGACGGTAGGCACGCTGGTGCGCTTATGCTAGCCCCCTTTAAGGACCTCTTAGGAATGGAGTGAGGTCCACGGTAGACAGTTTGAGGTTGAAGCTGTGAGGGGTTGAAGCTGTGAGGGGTTGAGGCTGTAACCATGGAGTTGGGCAGGGTGTTCCAGGCCTTGACCACTCTGTGGCTGAAGTCGTATTTTCTGCCATCGAGTTTGGAGCAGTTTACCTTGAGCTTGTATCGTTGTTTGCCAGTGTATTATTGTGATGGAGGCTGAAGAAGTCATTGACAGGCAAGATGTTGTAGCTGACAATTCGATCGGACCGCAGGCAGCGCAGTTCCAGATTGTCCAGGCCCAAAATTTCAAGCCTGGAGACATAGGGAATTCTATTGTGAGTGGAGGAGTGGGGTACCTTTCTTCTTTTTTTTTTCTTTTTACTTTTTTGTGTGTGGGGTCAAATAGATCAGTTTAATAAGACACAGAGGGAGCTTGTAGGAAAGGCTCCTTCTAGAAAAATAACCACTGGGATTTAAGGAGGAACTGCCTTTAAAGGACAAGAGGCACCCAGGGATGGGAATTATCCAGGACAGCTCTGTTCTACTTCATGCAAAGCAAAATGTGCCTGTTGCAAGTGGAAACGGCAACAGGAACGATTTTCCACACTGTTGGACTGTAAAAACATCCGAAAAGGTTTCCCTAGACTGAAATCAGAATAATTGATGTAACAGGTAGAAAGGTAAGAATCTACTGGAGTAGCAATCAACAGATTTGAACGGAGTTGAAAGGGTTGACTTGTAGGTCATCTACTCCAATCCCATCACCCAAGCAGGAGACCCTACACCATTTCGGACAAATAGCAGTCCAGTCTCTTTTTGAAAGTCTCAAGCGAGGAAGCTCCCACAACTCCTTGAAGGCCACTTCTGTTCCACTCGTTGATTGTTCTCACGGTCAGAAAGTTTCCGCTTGTGAGTGATGATGTCTTCCTGGTTCCTGTCAGGACCTGTCCTTTGATGTTAGAAGGGAGGATCGGGCAAATTCTGTAAACGAGTCTTTGGGCCTAGACTGACCATGCTGGGCTAAGATGCACCAGGGGAGCCCTGTCCACAAGACCTCTGACTCTTGATGTCTTTTTTCAGTTGAAGGACAGGACTTTTTGACGTCAGGCATTTCAAGCACTGGCTTCCTCAGATGGGGGTCCAGTACAGCCGAGTGAGACCCAGAACCCCTAGAGGGAGAAGCAGCGGGGCTGCAGCGTCGGCAAGATGCCTGGATTTCATGCTGGGTAAGCAAGGATGGAGTTCTGGGTTGGAATGGCAGGGGTGTGTCGGACCATGTTATTTTTTTCCTTTCTTTTCTGAGCCTAGGGCTATTAAGTTGGAACTTTCTGCTCTCCTTGTGCCAATTAAAGTCCAAAAAAGGGTGAAGAAGACTTTGGTGGTAGCTTCAGGAGGGTCTGTGTAAGCAATACTTCCAAGGGTTTGAGTCTCTTGCTCCAGAATCCATTGAAGTTAGAAACGAACGAACGAATGAATGAATGAATGAATGGGAATGAATGAATGAATAGAACAAATACTATCCCTCAGCTACAACCATCCTTCTTTTTCAAAATGAGGTGGGCTTCTTCAGGGGTGGGATTCAAAAATCCCAACAACCGGTCCACTGCCCGGTTGCTGGGTGGGCGTGGCCATCGTAGGCACGGCCTACTGGAACTTCCTGTTTCTGGCTTCTGGTGGTCTTCCAGAGCCCAGGGGAGGCCGCTTACACCCTCCCAAAGGTCCAGAGGCTTCCCCTGGGCCTCCGGGAGGGCGAAAACAGCCTCCCCTGATCTCTGGAGGTTGTCCGGAAGCCAGAAACAGGCTTGTTTCCTAACTTCCGGAAGACCCGTTTTTCCCCTCCTCCCAGAGCCTCGGTGTGGACCTCCCCTTACCTTCCTTGAAAACGGGCCATGTGGAGATTCCTGGGGAGGGGTGGGGCAGGAGGGGAGGGGCCAGTCAGTCAGTTGAATTATGGGTTCAGCAAACCAGCTGCAACTTTAACAACCGGGTCACACGAACCGGTCCAACCCGGTAGAATCCCACCTTTGGCTTCTTCTTCTTTGCTCAGTCCTAAAGCTTCTGGACCTCTGTTTCTCGACTCGGCAAATTTCAGATGTGCGGACTTCGACGCCCAGAATTCCTCAGCCAGCAGCCTTCTGGGAGTTGAAGTCCATACAGCTTAAGTTTGCCGGAGGTTGAGAAACACTTCTGGACCAACTCTTCTCCTTTGTGTGTAAACAGGGAAGGTTTTATTCCGTTTTTTCCAAGGCCACCTCTTGGTTATTTGTTTCCCAGCCTTCCCCCTATCTATTAACCTACTTCTGTTCTCCTTGTGACTCAGCACCTGGGATTAAGGGAGGGTTAGGATTAGACAAAACCCTTTCCTCACACCACACGTGGGAGTGATAGCATTCCCTGCATCTATTTCCTCACTCACTTCAAGTACTGATGTGTCACAAGGCTCCCTACGCGTTCTGGCTTAGTCATGCCTCACTGTGGCCTTCAGTGAAGTCCCATCATGGGAGGCTAAATCTGCAACACCTCCACCCCTTGCTTCATAAATTGCACAAGTATAACGTGTAAATTGTCTGAAAGAAATGGATAGCATCGCGATTGCTTACTTTTTGATCTTCTTTGATCTGAGATACAGGGAGAAGCCCACTCTTCAAGAGAATATTTCACCTAGACCAGACACGGTGCTTCTTGGCATCTCCACTCAGGTAACAGCACATACCTGTGAAGTGCTCAGCTCCAGGTGGACAGGGGAATGGAAGACGTTGATTCCTGGGCAGAAAACGAAATGGGTGGGTGAGAGATTCAGCGATTCAGAGATTCTGAGAGTTAGTCACCCCGTAGACCAAGGCAAAGCTTGAGAACATATGAAGATGAAGAATTGATGACGTTCCAGATGTTGTGACCCCAGCATTCTTTGCTATTCTCCAGGCCATCTGAGAACGCTGGGAATTGTGGTCCAACGTTTGAAGGCTCATGCAAGCTCCCCTGGTTTGATTCCATCTTGGAAAAGCTTCCAAGTTCTGCCATCTTGCCAAACTGTTCTTCAATGAACTCCTTCTGGAGTTCCAGGGATTACAAGAAGCCAGTAACACTATTGGATAGCACCACCAAGGATCTGTTTTATTCCAGAGCAAATTATTAGTTGACCTCCTCCATATAACATGAGTTTTGGGGACTCTTAAGAAGAAAAGGGTATTTTCCATCTCCCACACCCTCTTTTACCTTAAAATTCAGGGCTTGGAGCCATAGCCTTCTGCTAGGGAAACATGTTTTCTTCTACAAAGCTATGGCCAATATCTATTGCAGGATAGTGGCCTACGTTTATACTCTTGTTGATCCTCAAGAACATCTCTGGCCACCAGAGCTCCTCCAGAAATTGCCTTCATAATGTAATTTTGAATATGATGAGAGAATGGAGTAATTAAACACAAGGGAGTAAATCAATAATGATTCAACTAAAACTGGTTGGATTTCAGCTTTTTTGGGGGGGCTGGGCCCACTTGGGTCACCCACAAATCTTGGCATCAGAGCTACATCATTCTTCTAAAAGTTTTGTTCCTCCACAGGTACTTCACCCATTACCCGGGAATGTTACAAGAGGCAACATCTCGGCCTGCTTCCCCCAAGCCAAATCAGAGAGTGCCGAAGAACATAGCAACTTCTGGTAAACCTGTGGACCTCCTTCCTTGGGGGGTTGGTGGGTTATGGAAGTCCATCAGATACAACCCAAGATCTCTAGTAATATTAGAGAAGGAACGTACCTCCTCCTCACCTTTCTTTCTCTTGTTCCTCCTCAGAAGCCATCCAAAGACACAAGAAAAGTCTGGCGGATTGGTTTCGCCGCCAACCCAACGAGGAGAGACAGTTTGGACCATCATTTGCCCTGGACGCCATCCACGTCGATCCAGTGATCCGGGAGAGCTCCCTAGAGGAAATCTTGAAACCTTCTCCAGATCTGACAATCCAGAACCAGCTCCAAGGCTCTTGCTGTCATACCATTGGTCTCCAGAACCTTTTTGACCAGGATCCATGCGGGCAAGAAGTGAAGAATGTGGTCCTCTATGGGACAGTGGGCACCGGGAAAAGCACCCTCATCAAGAAGATGGTGATGGACTGGTGTCACGAGCGCCTTCCTCAGTTTGAGCTGCTCCTTCCCTTCTCCTGTGAAGACCTTTCCCAGGGCAACAGTCCCGTGTCTTTGCGCCGTCTAGTGACCAAGAAATACCTCCACCTCCGGGATGTGGCCCCATTGCTTGGCTCCAGCAACCTCAAGATTCTTTTCATCCTCAATGGCCTTGACCGTCTCAACCTAGACTTTCGCCTGGCCCGCACTGACCTTTGCTGTGACCCCAATGAACCCCTCTTGCCAGCTGCCATTGTCGTCAACCTGCTCAGGAAGTACATGATGCCCGAGGTGTGTGGCAAGGGACGGGCAGAGGCCCACCCTGTGCCCTCTTCCTGTTGCCAACAGAAAGGGAGGGGGGAAAGCAGCAACTTGGAAATTGAAAGTGCATTCCATAGATAGTTTTTTAAAGATACTAACTAGGTGGCTGAAGTTTCTGCAGTGCAAAGATCTAACTGGAGGACATGATTGATGACTCTTGGCTACGGATGTGTCCCATTGAAGAATATGAATTATGATACACCCAGGGCGTGGGGGGAAAACCAGGGTGAAGGGTGATGATGAATTATGTGTTGGCTAAACCCAGGCAGTGCCAGACATGTTAACTTCCAATAAATCCTTTTGAAATTTTGGAAGTTTGACTTGAGACTCATGATTTAACTGGGATAACTGCCAGAATCCTGACAAGCTGCTTTGAACTAATCAGAAGACAGGTGGGATACAAATGGAACGAACATTAAGCAGTATGAGGGGTCCTTGGTGGTCTCTGAGCTTGGTTATTTTCTTCCAGATATTTCATGACCCAAACTAGGTAACATCATCAGTGCTAGAAGGGAGTGGGCATCAGAGATCAAACCCACTGCCTTCTAGCACTGATCAGATTACCTAGTTTGGGTCATGAAATATCTGTAAGAAAACCACCAAGCTCAGAGAGCACCAAGGACCCCTCATTACAACCCCGAGCTACAAATATTCTCCTTTATTGCTTACTAACTACTATAGATGATGATGAGAAACTAAATTGCACCAGTTCTCTGCAGAGTCCCATCATTAGGACTCATAATTTCATATCTCAGCCTTCTGTTCCGCCATGAATGCCATTGAAACATCACTGGGCCTGAGACCTGGGAATAACTCCAGTTTGTTTGCATTCTTCCAGGCCAGCATCATTGTCACTACTCGCCCTTCGGCAGCACGCCGGATCCCCAGCAAGTTTGTGGATCGCTACGTTGAAGTCTGTGGCTTCTCGGACCTCAACCTCCAGAAGCTTTACTTCCAGATGCGCCTACGGCAGCCTGAGTGTGCCAGAACCGCTGGTCCCCCCACGGCAGAGCAGGCCAATGAGCAGGACAACCTCGTGGAGATGCTCTCAAGGAATCTGGAGAGGCACAACCAGATTATGGCCGCCTGCTTCCTTCCTTCTTATTGCTGGTTGGTGTGCACGACCTTACACTTCCTGTATTTTACCAAGACGGTGCCTCCCACTCAAACTCTGACGGGGATCTACACCAGCTTCCTACGGCTCAACTTCAGCGGGGAAGTGCTGGACAGCACCGATCCCTCCAACATCTCCATGATGAAGTATGTGGCCAAGACAATGGGCAAGTTGGCCTACGAAGGGGTGATGTCCCGACAGACTTGCTTCACGGAGAAGGACCTCCGCCGCTGTTTTGAGGTGGAGATGAAGACGGAGAGTGAGCTGAACCTCCTGAACACCTTCCGGAGTGATGTTCTCCGCTTTTTCTTGACCCCCAGTGTTCAGTCAGGCAAGGAGCACACTTTCGTCTTCACTATCCCTGCCATGCAAGAGTACCTGGCTGCCCTTTACGTGGTCTTGGGGGAGAAGAAGACCCTGGTGCAACAGGTGGGCAAGGAAGTCTCTGAAATCATTGGGAAAGTCAGCGAGGATGTGGCCCTGGTGCTCAGCGTGGTCTCCAAATTCTTGCCGTTGCGCATCCTGCCCCTTCTCTTCAACCTCATCAAGATCTTCCCCCGCTACTTCAGCCGGTTCAGTACCAAGGACCGGGACACCATTGCCCGCACCATGGCCATGGAGATGTTCAAAGAGGAGGACTACTTCAACGAAGATGTTCTGGACCAGATCAACATCAGCATTCTTGGGGTGGAAGGTCCCATGCGCCACCCGGATGAGGCTTCCGATGATGAGGTCTTTGAACTCTTCCCCATCTTCATGGGTGGGTTGCTGTCCCGGCGTAACCGGGCCATCTTGGACCAGCTGGGCTGTCCTATCAAGAACCTGGCTGTTTTTGAGATTGCCAAGGCCATGAAGAAAACGGTCATCCGGAATAGCCGTAAGGGCTTGCCGCCATCCGAGCTGATGGACTACCTCTTCTTTCTACACGAGTTCCAGAACGAACGTTTCACAGCGGAGGCGGTCCAATCCTTGAGGACCATCAACCTCTCCACAGTGAAGATGACCCCTCTCAAATGCGCAGTCCTGGCTTCGGTTTTGGGTACCACGAGCCACGGCGTTGAGGAGCTAAATCTTGCCTCTTGCCACCTCGATGTGGGCAGCCTGAGAACCCTCTTCCCCATCTTGCTACGATGCAAGAAACTCCAGTGAGTATCTCCTGCTACAATTTTGCACAACCCACACAATTCGCCTCAAGGTTAAGCTTCAGTTATGACATGGAATTACATCTAAGAGTTCTGCAATAATTATGAAGTTTCCCCCTAATTTCTGACATAGCGGTGCGTCTTTTAACCCAGTGGTCGCCAACCAGTGGTCCAGGGATCACTGGTGGTCTGAGAGAAAATTTGGGTGGTCTGCAAAGAAATGTCCCCCCCAAAGCAATTGATTCAGGCTGCGTGGGAACACAAGGCTGTGCCCCCCTCAGAGCCTGTGGGAACACAAGGCTTTTGTCACTTGCACTGCGAACAACACAAGGTAGTGAGGGGAGGGGGGAAAGGACGGAGCGGGGGACTTGCCCCCCTCGCCCCACACGCCTGGCCTGGCCACCGGGCTGCTTCTTTCCGTGTCTTTCTTCTTCTGCTTTTGGCTGCATGCAAGGAAAGTAGCAAAAGTCTTTCTTTCTCTCCCCCAAACTCCGCCAGAAATGAGTCTTTGGGACCCTGCAAAGCCTCCTGCTCCAAGAGGCTGCATCGGCAAAGACTCATTTCTGGCGGAGTTTGGGGGAGAGAAAGAAAGACTTCTGCAGCTTCTGCTGCTTTCCTTGCATGAAGCCAAAAGTCTCTCTCTCTCTCTCTCTCTCTCTCTTTCTCTTTCTATCTCTCCCTGAGAACGGAGCTGGAGACAGTATCCTGTGATCCCAAATAAAGAATGATCGATCGGTAGAAAAACAGAGTGGGGGATTTTCCTGCAGACTTTCGAGGGGATTTTCCCAGGGTCTCTGGTCCGCGGGATTTAAAATGATGAATTTGGTTGTCCCTGAGGTCCAAAAGGTTGGCGACTCCTGGTTTAACCCACAGCTTTTTTTTTTTGAATTCATGTTTTTTTCAGGGAAAGCGAGTTCAAAAAATAGATTTAGTTTCTTAGAAATACCAACGTGCCATTCTTATGACATCCTTCTTTCCTGGCAAGTTTACCCTATTTATTTGAAAGGAAGTTAACGCTGAATTTAAAGGCTTGAGCAGAAAACAGGGGTGTTTCCAGCCAATTGAAGAGGACATCATGTACCAGCACTACTCCCAACCCTTTGAAAATAGATTATTTGCAGAAAATGCCTACTAAATTCGGAAATCATTGGGTGAATCCATTCCAGTTTTTCAACGGCTAGAAAATTGCAGTCTTGACTTCGACCAGAGGGTGGCAAAATCAGACAGAAAGTTAGAAAGTCGTTTTATGGTTGAAGCTGAAGATGAATCTGAGAGCCAGGAAGCTTCCTGTAGCAGTGTTCCACCAGCAGTTTTGGGGTACCACATATCCCATCCTCCTTGCCAGTTTGGTCAAAGGGAGCGCAGCCCGATACGTGGGGAAAACGGAACAAATGGATGCTGGATTTGCAACTGTTAATACGTTGTTCTGTTGCCTCCTCCAGTTTGCAACTCAACAGTCTGGGCCCAGAGGCATGTAAAGAGATCCGGAATCTACTTCTGCATGACAAATGTGTGGTGGACACCTTGCGGTGAGTGTGAAGGAGATGGGCTTGTGTGTGGGAGGATGGCTTCCACCACAGTGAGGCAGCCAAGGAGAGCTATGTTCCTGATGGCTTGTAGATCAAAACCAAACTCTGACTCAAAGCAGAAAGAGAAAGTTGAGAGGATATCAAAGCTGGTTTGGAGCAAATCTCTCTAGGCCCAACCAGATTGCCAACTTTGTTGTGATGTTCCACCTGAACAAACTCCTCCCTTCTCTCTCTCTGACCTGTTATCCTCCAGAAGAGCTTTGCTTGTAGGACCTGCTGTTGAGGAATTGTGTCATCCTCACCTTTCTGGAGAATAGCAGGTTGGAGTAACCTGCCTTGGATGGGTACATGAGATGCAGGATTGTCCAGCTCTTCCATTTTGCTAGATTTATGTTCTTGGAGCATACACTGATTGTAGCATCCTATGAGCCTTTCGCATACCTTGTAGAACAATGCATGCAAATATTATTTGCTGGGGTGGCAAGATACCACTCTGGATTGGCCAATACAAAATCTGATCATGCACAAAATTCTGGATAGCACCAAGGGCTCAACAATGAGAAAAGGAGAGCAGAGAAGATAGCAGAATGTTGGAAGGAGATGCTTTCTTCTTCTACTGCTGATCTTGTCAACAAACATACCAGGCTTAAAATTCTTGGGATTGCAGGAAAGTTGGAATCTATGGGTCGGCCCATCTAGAAGGCATCTGAATAAGGGAGGTTGGGCAGTGGGAAAGGTGATGACTTCTCCTACGTTGATGTTCAACTATGTCCTCCTCAGCCTTGCAGACAATCCATTGACGGAGCAAGGGGCCACCTACCTTGCTGAAGGCTTGGCTGGCAACAGCTCTTTGAGAAACCTCTCACTCCTTCACACCTCCTTGGGGAACCAAGGTGTGAAGGTGATCACCCAGCACCTGGCTCAGAACCAGCATCTACAGGAGCTTGACGTGGCCTACAATTCGCTGACAGATGAAGCTGCGTTGGCCCTGGTTGAGGAGGCCAAGAAACACACAACACTGGAAACTGTGCAGTGAGTTCCAACCTTCTGCCGTGCCACTTCTTTGTTGAAAGTCCAAGACATTCAACTATGGGAATGTTTAGATCCTGCTCGGCCTTTGGGTCGCTGGGAATTTTTGCAGGGAGTGTCTAGTCCTGCCTTAGCCATGAAAGCTGAGATGGTGACTTCTAGTCCTGCTTTAGCCATGAAAGCCAGTTGGGTGACCTTGGGCCAGTCACTCTCTCTCAGCTCGATCTACCACACGGGGTTGTTGTTCCGGGAAAAACAGGACAAGGAAAATGTATTGGATAGGTTTGCCATCTTGAATTATTTGTAAAAAATAATAACGGTGGGTTACAAATTTATAAATAAAACTTGTCATGTTATTGTGATGTTCTCCAACCTGTCCCCTTTCGGGTCTGTTGGGGATGACTTCCAGAATTCTTAACTTTGGAACTGGCAGCCAAGGGTGCCCCTTGGAGCTGGCGGGTCAGTTCACATGGAGATGTCCCCAAGGTGCTTTTTTCAGGAGGCAACTGGATTTTCTTGGTTTTTTTCTTTTTGAAGATGTTTTGGTTCTCATCCAAGAAGCTTCTTCAGCTCTGACTTGGATGGTGGGGGAATGGAAGGATTTATACTCCTTGCAGACAGCTCCACACCCATTTGCACCACTCAGGTGACCCTGAGGACACAGATAAACCTCCCAAGTGGCCTCAACGACCCTCTAAAAGGATGCAAATGACCAGCTCTGTCTGCAAGGAGTACAAATCCTTCCCTTCCCCACTATCCGGTCAGGATGGTGGGGAATGGAAGGACTACCCTGCCAGAGCTGAAGAAGCTTCTTGGATGAGAAGCGAAATGCCTTCAAAAGATAAAACCAGGAAGTCCAGTTGCCTCCTGGAAAAAGCACCTTGGGGACAACCATGACCTGGAGGATGGAGAACCTCTACAGGCTTCACATGGACGTGTTCTGCTTCTGGCTCTTAAATTTTTTTCCTCCTCTTCTCCTTCTTCCTCCTCCTCCCCAGCTTGTACTTCAACGAGATCAGCGAAGGAGGCAAGGAAGCCCTGCACGAATTGCGGAAAAACCGGGATGGCCTCCGGGTGCTCATTTACCTGACCATGGGAGCGGATGTGTCTGACTACTGGGCCATCATCCTCAACGTGGTCCAGAAGAACCTGCCCATCTGGGATCGGGAGCGGGTGAAGCAACATCTGGGGCTGCTCCTGGAAGATCTTCAGTGCAGCCGCCGAGAGACGGTCAACCCTTGGAAGAAACTCAAGTTCATGAGAGTGGAAGGGGAGGTCAAGAGGATGTTGGGTCACATGCAGAGGGGCGCCCTTTGACCCTCAGTTCCTGGGAGCGATCTGGAAACAAAGCACGGGATTCCTACCACTCCACTGAAGCACCAGTTGGTTCGAATGCCACAGCAAATCTGGTGGGCCACCATAGGTAACTGGACAAGGTTGTCTTTCAGTTAGCGGATCCCACCTCAGGGGTCTTCTGACATTGTTAGGAGACTAAGTTGGCGGGTGCTGTGGACCAGAGTGTCCATCTTTGGCATCTAGAAGACCGGTGGGCCTCCACTTCCAGCATTCTCCAGCCAGCCATGTTATGGGGAATTCTGGGAGATGAAGTCCTCCAAGTCTTAAAGTTCCCCAAGTTGGACACCCCCACCCCCACCCGCCCCGCCGTAGATGCATCTGCCGATCAAAGACTGAATCGGATCTCTCTCTCACGTAGCAGGTGGTTTGCCTTAATGTCAACTCTTTATACTTTCTGGTTGAAATCAGCCTTTGATATCTGTTGCCTTCCAGGCAGGTTGGACTACACTGCCCATCACTTCCAGTTGGCCTGGGTGCAGGCGGATACATCTGGAGGGAGTAAGAGGAGGTTTCCTTCAGATTTTTTGTGCTTTTGCAGGATGTGATGAGCCTTTTTTCTAACAGCCCCCCCCCCCCAAAATACAAACAACCCAGAAGTTGTGGGCAAGGTCTCTTTGGGACATCGCTGGTGCTATGCATCATGTTGCAAACTCAGTGTGCTGATCCCCCTCACCGCCCCCCCCCATCATTTACTCTGAGGAGGAAAGGATGCAGTTGCAGTTGAATTTTAAAGCAAAATTAAACCGGCATTCCTCGACTTACGACTGCAATTAAGCCCAACGTTACTGTTGCTAAGCGAGACGGTTGTTAAGCAAGTTTTGCCCTTCCTTGCCACCGTTGTTAAGTGAATCACCGCAGCTGTTTGGTTAGTCACATGGCTGTTGGACGAATCTGGCTTCCCCCTTGGTTGCAAAAAGGGATCAAGTGTCCCGCGGGATGCTGTAAACATCGTAAATGTGAGTTGGTTGCCAAAGCGTCTGACGGCTGATCACGTGATGATGCTGCAACAGTCGTAAGTGTGATAAACAGCCGTAAGTCACGGTTTTCAGCGCTGTTGTAAACTTTGAACGGTCACTAAATCGAATTACTGTAAGGCAAGGACCACCTGCAAATGGGACCTTACCAGTTAGAGCAGAGGTCTCCAAACTTGGCCACGTGAAGACTTGTGGATTTCAACTCCCGGAATTCTCCAGCCAGCCGTGTCTCTTTCTTTCTTTCCTTCTCCTCCTAAAGTGGAGAGATTTCAAAGGAAGGGGTGATAAGAGAGTAAGCTAAGCTGGCTGGACAATTCTGGGAGTTGAAGTCCGCAAGTCTTCACGTGGCCAAGTTTGGAGACCTTTGAGTTAGAGGATATTTAGCTGAATGCATGCGAGAGAATGTCGGTATTTTTCAAAATGGCCTTCTTGGATGGGGTTGATGAGAAGAGTTGAGACTGACCCAACCTTTTCCCATGCCTGCAATGCAAAGGGACTTCTTCTTTAAACAGATTAATAGAATTAGGAGGGACCTTATAGGTCATGTAGTCCAACCCCCTCACCCAAGCAGGAGACACTACACCATTTCTGACAGATGGCAGTCCAGTCTCTTCTTGAAAGCCTCCAGTGATGAAGCTCCCACGACTTCTGAAGGCAACTTCTGTTCTATTGGTTGTTTGTTCTCACTGTCAGAAAGTTTCTCCTTATTTCCAGGTTGAATCTCTCCTTGTTCAGTTTCTATCCATTCTTCCTTGTCTGGCCTTTGGATGCCTTGGAGAATAGCTTTGGCCCCTTCCTCCTCTCTGTGGCAGCTCCTCAAATATTGGAAGATGGCTCTCATGTCTCTGGTCCTTCTCTTTCCTAGACTAGCCAGGCCCAGTTCCTGCAACCATTCATCATATGTTTTAGTCTCCGGTCTCCTCATCATCCTGGTTGCTCTTCTCTGCACTCTTTCTAGAGTCTCAACATATTTTTTATAGTGTGGTGACCAAAACTGGATGCAGGATTCTAGGTGTGGTCTTACTAAGGCTTTACAGAGTGGTCTTAGTACCTCCCTTGATCTTGATTGTATCCCTCTGTTAATGCAGCTTAGGATTGCGTTGGCTTTTGGGGCTGCCGCTGCACACGGCTGGCTCCTATTTAGCTAGTTGTCCACTAAGACTCCAAAATCTCCTTCTCCCAGTTACTGCCATTGAGCCTGGTTTCACCCAGTCTGTATGTGTCCTTGTGGTTTTTCTTCTTGTCTCAGTCCCTCAGTGTTTAACGCGGCATCCTTCTCCTCTCATTCCTTCCATCGGTACGACATCCAAAACATACCTCACCTCCGATTCTGCACCACACACTGACTTCTCTCCCACTGGGTGAAGTTATTGGCAGGAAGAATATGCGCCATGGATGAATCTAAAAAGACGAAGCGCCGCGTCATGTATCACTGAGGACTAGCAAATCCTGGGGGATTTGCTGGCCTAGAACCCCGCTATTTTCTTTGGTTTGGGTGGAGGAGTGGGATCCTTTCAGTTTTTTTCTATCCAGTATTTTTTTTTCCTCTCTCCATGAGTGATTGGCCGGATTCTTTTGCAAGGATGCAGCGAAATAATACAGTAACATGATGCAAGATATGATACGATCATTTCAGCCAGATTTTTCTAGATTTGGGCTCAAATCCCAGCAGGGCAGGAAAAAAAAAAGCAGGGATTTAAAAAAAAGCATTGTCTTGGGAATTGTTTGCTTACGTGCCTCGAGAAAATTAAATGCACTTTGCTTCCGTACATGCAGCCCAGAGGTGGTATTTAGCCGGTTCTGACCGGTTCTAGAGAACTGGGAGCAGAAATTTTGAGTAGTTCAAAGAGAACCGGCCAATCCCACCAATGATTGGCTCCACCCTCATCTCTTCACTGCCTCCCATTGAGTCCCAGCTGATCGGCTGGGTCTTCTTTGGTTGCCCTGCAAAGGAGAACGGAGCTGGAAAGCAGGTCAGTGGGGTGGGGAGGGAAGGGGGATTTTGCAGTAACCTTCTCCTGCCAAGCCACACCCACCAAGCCACGCCCACAGAACCGGTAGTAAAAAAAATTGAATCCCACCAGTGACACAGCCCTTTACAACCCAAATTAGGACTGGAACTTCTGCCCCTAAGCGATGTGGTGGCTTAAGTGAGTTGCACCCAATTGTATGACCTTTTTTTCCCACGTCCGTTAAGCAAGTCACATCGCTGTTCAGGGACTTCCCTCTGCCATCTGGGAAGGGAGCATCCGCATGACCCCATTGCAAATACTTGCTGGTGACCGAATTTTTGACCACGTGACCTCAGGGAAGCAGTGATGGTGGTGAACGCAAGTCAGTTTTTCATCACCGTCGTAACTTTGATCAGTCGCTAAACGAACGGTTGTAAGTCGAGGTTTATCTGTCGATGTAGGACTTAATGCAACTTCATTTCTGCAGGCAGAAAAAATAAATAAAAATATACAGATATGCATTGGATATAAGGGTGTACTTGGAGACCAGCTACCTCAGGTTTTGAGAATTTGAAGAACCAAAGGATTGTTTCACACAGAATGAATGAATGAATTCTCAGTAGAATTCATGAATTAATTCTCAGCTGAATTAATGAATTCTCAGCTGAATTAATGAATTAATTAATTCTCAGTAGAATTCATGAATTAATAAATTCTCAGTAGAATTCATGAATTAATAAATTCTCAGTTGAATTAATGAATTCTGCTGAATTAATGAATTAATTCTCAGTTGAGTTAATGAATTCTCAGATGAATTAACGAATTAATGAGTTCTCAGATGAATTAATGAATTCTCAGCTGAATTAATGAATTAATTCTCAGTTGAATTAATAAATGAATGAATTCTCAGTAGAATTAACGAATTAATGAATTAAGTCTCAGCTGAATTAATGAATTAATTCTCAGTAGAATTAACAAATTCTACAGAGTTGAAGCAGGTTTTAAGAAGGCTGATCCTTTATGTCTCTGAGCTCTGAACTTTGCACGGAGCCTGCCAGTCGAGGGGCACTCTTCCTTGAAATGCCAGCTACCAGAGACAAACAAAGGTGAGAGCCTATTGGGGGCTTGTTGCCAACACTTTTACTTTGCTTCCAATTTCTCATAAACGCAAGCATGCACACACGACTGCTGGACTCTGGAGAAATAGCAAGGAATATCTATTTTCTGGTTGTAACAAAAGCCGTTAAAATAAACTTTCCAGCGAATGTTTTACATTATAATTTCCCATTTGTTGCATTATTTAAACACATCACGGATTTTGTAATACCTTCTGGCCGATGGTAATAATAATAATATTAATATTAATAATGATACCCCAATAGAAAGAAAAACCTTGAACATTTGCCAAAGAACAAAGGACGTTTGCACTAGCAGGTCCTAAAATAGTTTTTTTCCCTGCGTCAAAGGCTCAGCTTGACAATATTATTCATCGCTTTTATTTATCACCCTCCTTCATCACTTCTTCGGGAAAAAAAAATTGAAAAAAAACACACGTTCACACACAAACCTGGTGACGTCCAGATGACAGCCGCACAGTGCAAAATGACTTGAGCCTTTCCAGGGTGTGCAATTCACACTTTTCTTCGTTGCTCGCTTGGCGTGCCAACCCCTCGTCCCATCACCTCCGGATCCCAAAGAACCACCCACCCCCCCCAGCTGCCGTGCCTGGCTGATCTTCCCTTCTGCAGGAATGAAAAAGCTATTTTCCACACTCGGCTTGGCTTCGTGGAAGAAGGAAGCGACGCTGAGAAAAAGACGCTCGAGTCGTTTAAATATTAAACATCTCGGGTTGCGTGGCCACCTCGCCCCTGGACCTTGGACTTCAGAGTGGGAGCAGACATGAAGCAGAAAAGGGGTAAGTGGTCTGGGACTGCGCAGCGGAGGAGATCCCCTAAGATGACAGGGTTGGATTTCTTACTTAGAGGGGGAAGAAGGACACAATGGGGTTACTAAGAGGTGCCTATGAATAACTGTCGTCCAACTTTTCCAGAGGTTTTGGGGGAATACCAATTATTCACATTCGTTTTTTTTTCTGCAGCTGAGGTTATTCCTGGATTGGTCACCTTACTGAAAACAGCCCTGCTGTTTTGAAGGCATTCCTAAGCATCTCTTTGTGCTTTGCAATGTGAGGTCGAACAAGTTTTTAAAATTAAAATCCCTTCTTCTTCTAAGGGAACCTGAAATTAAAATCCCTTCTTCTAAGAGAACCTGAAATCTGAAGCTGTTGAAATTCAGAAAGAAAGCCTGCCCGGATTTTCCTCCCCGTTAGTAGGACCACTCCCCGCAAGAAGGTAGAAGTTTAATTTCTGGCTGTCGAACCCCAAGCCCAGCTAAAATAGACCCTAATTTCTCCCCTCTCCCTGTCCTCCCCTCCTCACTGCTCTCAATCGTGTAACAACCATGGTACCAATTAAATCCAGGAATAAATTGCTTGCTCTCAGTCCAACCCTTCTCCACCTAGTTTTGTTTTGCTTAATAGGGTGGAGGAAGAGATGACTATCTGGCCCAGCGTTATTGCTCTTGCCACATTGGTAATCTTTCAACCATGAGCCACAACAAGCCTGCTTCAAAAATCCC